TTTATCCTCCGAGTCCTTTGAGACAGTTTTTACCTCAGTGGTTTAATGTGCCATCTTTTTATGATCTGAGTGCAAAAAATTAAGTTAGAGAATATGTTACTGTTAAGTGATCTTATTCTCTCTGTGCCTTGGTTGCTTGAATTTGAGTTTGACTCTTCGTATGCAGCTAGAAGTTTACAGAGTGCCTCTTCGTGATAAGCACTGATGTTCTGGGAACGTTTGTATTCTTACAGGCCATAATACTTGGAAAAGGAGACCTGGATTTGACTCCTGATATTGCTACCAAATAGAATGTCTTTGGTTCAGCCATTTTAATTTAGCTTCATAATTTAGAAAGCAGGATTGTTAATGCCTGCCTTACCAGGTTTAAATAAAATGGTGCCCCCCCCTTTTTTCTCAGTATCATTCATATAAGTACTTTTCAAAATCCCACAAAATCAAGGAAGAGAAGTGAAAATAGAGATCCTATCCTAGCCATAGGAGTGATTTGTCCAGTGAGAATTACCATCTAGGTTTCTTGGATCCCATCTGGTACTTTTTACCCTTATATCTGACATGTCCACAGTCATCTTTTCCATCTTTATTCAATTGTGTGCATTTGCATTTAACTTCTTATGATGGCAAAATCCAATATGTATATAAGTTAACTCCTGAACACAACATACACTTCAATTTTGGAGGAGTGGTCACTGAATGGTTTGCCTGGGGAGCTCAGTACTCTCTGTCTGGTGCCCCGCATAGTGCCTGACACACTCACATCTTTGCCTTAGGAGAATAATTCATTCTATAAAAAAAAGGATATTTAAGCATGAATCCAATTAAAATGGAAAAAAAATCAGTGGAAAGGATTTGATTGGAACTATATCTTGAAAATGGAACCACAGATTATGAAAGTAAATTAATCTTGTCCTAGATTTAATAAAATTTATATTATGATGAAAATTCCATGCTAAATTTTAGAATAAACAATTTTTAACAAAACATAGTCAATTAACTTCTCCATGTTTGACTTTTACAACAGGGTTAGAGAGTCTTCTTTTTTTTTCTTCAAAAAATAGTTTTTCAAATTAATATTTTGAATGTTTCATCAGTTTTTTCAAGGACATTTCTTAGTCTTGAATATAATTATTTAAATAAAATTCTCTTTTCAAGTATCTGTCATGTCATTTTCCTTGTTGATTCTTTCTTGATTTGTTAGCTGGTCTTTAACTGGGCATAGCCCTTAATTGTCAGTGGCATTGTGTAATATTGTAATGTAATTGTCATGTACTGTAATATAGTTGTAAAAAAATAGTATTGTAATGGTTCTCCAATATTACTTTGCTCTACTTCTAGAAATTCTGTATCTTATATAAGAATTTGAATTTTGATTTTCAGGTTATATATTTGTATAGAGACTGAAATATTAAAAGATTATTGGGAGAGGATTGATAGTCTTAAGAGGAAAGCCCACTTCATATAACCACCTAGGTCATACACTGCAAAACTTCAGGGGATGTGTGAAGAAAGAGAAGTGTGAGAAATTATTTAATTTTATTTTTGGGTTGATATTATGATAATGTATGTTTTCCCGCATAAACGTATAACTATAGGGACTCAGATAATCAATAATGCGGTCATGAGAAACCCCTTCCCCCATGACTGGTGGTTAATAAAAATTGTTGATTGATGAGTGAACGTACAAGATCTGCTTTTCCTGTGTAATTTAACATTAAGTTCATCTCACCAAGAAAATAACTAGAAACAAAACACTTGTGAGACAAATATAGTAATAAAAAACATATAACAAAGAATTTTTAAGCACTGGCTCTATTTAAGATATATAGTAGGCCCTGCAGGTTATGTGAAGATAAATTAACCATAGTCAGATATGAGGCTTTCATCCAAGAGGTGAAAAATACTAATAGTTAAACCACAGTGTTGATTTTCCATAACAAATATACCAGCATTCAGATATTCAAAGACTATTGTCCCTTTTGATGTAATTTAGGAGCCTTACTTCTTGATCCATTCACTTCACTCAAGAATTATTTATTGTAGACAGACTATGAGACAGACATTTTCCAAGACAGACAAGTAGCTCTGATGAAATTTACATCTGGTTGGAGGAGACAGACAATAAAACAACAGATTAACAAACAAGAAAAATATCCAGTAATAAGAATTTAGGTGCTGGGAGGTGAGAACCTCATGTATCAGAGGCCCCTCTAGGTGGCATGACCAGAGAAGACCTGTCTGAGTGGAGGATGTAGAAGCTGTGATCAGCCAGATATAGGTGAGGTGAGAACATTCCAGACTGGGGGCAGGTAGAGCTTGGGGTGCTTGAGGAGCACCAGGGAGGCCAGCCTGGGCAAGTGGAACTGTGGTAGGGGATTAAAAGAGTTTGGGTTTTGTTCTCTCTTCACTGAGAAGCCAAGTAGGATAATTAACGATGTGAAGATATGCTTTGTTTAAACATTTTTCTGGCTGCTGTGGGGAGAATGGATTGAAAGGGGGGGGGCAAGTGTAATACAGAGAGACCAGTGGGGCGCTGTGGCCATAGTGGACTTGGACCAGGATGTAATGCCGAGATAGAAATGAACAGATTGGGATATAAGGTTTGGGGAGTCACACTGACAGGACGTGGCTTAGATGTGAGATTTGAAGGTAACAGAAATTTAGAGTAATTCCTAGATGTTGATTTCAGTAACTAGGGAGGTGATGGTGCTCCTTATTAATATGAGGAAACCTGGCAGGGAGTGAAATTGGAGTAAGATGATGGGTAGGGCATTAGGAATTCTGTTTTCACCATTTTAAGTTGCCTTAAGTTGTTTAGATATCCTCATGAATTTGTCAGGTAGATATTTTGATTAAAAAACAGTTGATCACCACTTTACAATAAGAAGATAAGAAATAAATTGGACTAAATTTTAGGATGGTAGCTGAAATAATTCAAATGCTTATTTTTATATTGATTTAACAATTTAAGCTACACGTACATATCTTTAAATCACATAAAATACGTTAATTTAGACATAGTGCTTTCTTCCTATCTACATTTTACAAAACAATTTTATTTGGAAACTTCTTGTACATTTTTGACAGCTTCACATGCATTTTTGAAATCAATGTCTTTGGCACTGCTACTGCAATTTTGCGGAGTTATGTAAGTGTTTCTTCTTAAAGGATCTTTGAAAGGCTTTTTATAACTGTATCCAACACTTGAAATTCTGAGGTCATCCTGAGAATATCTGTTATTATTTTTTTTTACCCATTCCATTCTAGACTGGTACTATTTCAGAGTACTAGATATTTACCAAATAATACATTGTTGTTCAAAACAAAATAACCAAGGGAATATCTCAAAAATGGAAAACTTAGAAATTCAGAAATAAGTCAGCCTTTTCTTTTTCCCTCTGTATTCTTCTTTTTTCACTTAATAAATTATGGAAATTATTCACAGCGGTACATACAACCATTTCTCAAGGACTGCCCTACTATTCCATTGTATAAATGTATCATTATGTATTTAACCAGCCTTCCAGTGGTGGTACAGGTAGCTTGTTACCTTTGCTATAACAAATAGTGCTACAGTAAATATGCTGGCACTTCTTTTGCCACATGTGTAGAATCTCTGGAACAAAGGATAAATGCATTTTAAAATTTGTTAGATATTGCCTGTTTACCTCCAACGAGGTGGTAACAATTTTTACTACAGCCAAGAAGATTGAAGAGTAGTATACCAACACTCTCCAAAATAGTGCATTGTCGAACATTTTTTGTCCTGGCCTTTTAGTGAAAATAATCAATATGTCATTGTAGAGTGGGGATTGCATTGCTTTTATTATGGGCAAATTCTTTTAAATATCTTCAATGATAGCAAGTTTTTGTCTTTTGTGTGTGTGTGTGTGTGTGTGTCTTTTAAGGTGAATTTGAGTTTTGGGAAAAGTCAAATCTTAGGCATATGAGATTAAGTTAACTGTTACTCTAGGGTTTTCTTTATGTTTTTGTGGGTTTTTTGTTTTGGTCTGGTTTCGTTTGGGTTTTATTTGTTAGTTTTGAGAGGAAGGCTAAGTGAAAAACAAGATCTAACTTTGAGAGAAAACGAATATCCTTATTTACCTTATGAATTTTCTTAGAAATTAGTTTCAAAAGAAGAGCTCCAAAAGTGTCTGGAATCATGGTACTATCAATTGGTATAAGATTACAATCTTGCAAGGGGAATCATTTGAATTGAACAGTCCTTCTGATGTGTATGATCTGATGTTTGTTTTAAAAAAATCACCCACCATGAAGCCTTTAACTCAAGTGGATTTCTTTAACAGAGAGGTACATTAAAAACAAATAATTTAAATTTTCTTGGACTAAATTTTTAAAATTAGGTATTGCTTACTTTTTAATTTTCTTCCTTTATACCAGGAGTTAGATAATCTAGAAGAAGAGATAATTTTTACCATTATTGAACAAGCATTATTAGGATAATATTTACAGAAGTCTGTAATCTTTCTACATACCAGATCAAATTGTTTGTATTTCCCCCTTCTAAATCTAATCTGTATATAGCAATATAGATAAAATTATCTAAAATTAAGCATATTATTAGCTAGCCAAATTTAGATAAATATTTGTTTTAAATTTTCAAATATTTAACTTCAGAACAAGTTGTTTTAGACAGCGAGTTAATTTTTATATTTATGTTTTCCTAAGACTTGTCAAATCTAGTGTCTGTTATGCTAATGCAAACTGCTTTTGAGAGAAGCAGACTTGATGCTTTATGCATTGCAAATCAGATATCTGAAAATCTATGTGTATAGGCATCAGACTTGATTAAAATGTTCATTGAAGCAATTGTTCTTTACAGGTTTTCAAAATAAAACTCTTAAATAAACCACCTTGTTTTTATTTTCTATGAAAAATTGAATAATTATCTAGTCAGTTTGCTGTGAGAGAATTTTTAGCAGCTCTCAGGGATAGCCCCTTTCTTTCTTAAATGTGTACTATGTCTGCATTCTGTCCTGCAGAGAAATGGTCAATGCCTGGTTCGCTGAGAGAGTCCACACCATTCCTGTGTGCAAGGAAGGCATCAGAGGCCACACGGAATCTTGCTCTTGCCCCTCGCAGCAGAGTCCTCGTGCAGATAGCAGTGCACCTGGAACACCAACCAGGAAAATCTCTGCCTCCGAATTTGACCGGCCTCTTAGACCCATTGTTGTCAAGGATTCTGAGGGCACTGTGAGCTTCCTCGCTGACTCAGAAAAGAGGGAACAGATGCCTCTAACCCCCCGAAGGTTTGATAATGATGAAGGGGACCAGTGCTCAAGACTCTTGGAATTAGTGAAAGATATTTCTAGTCATTTGGATGTCACAGCCTTATGTCACAAAATTTTCTTGCATATTCATGGACTTATCTCTGCCGATCGCTATTCGCTGTTTCTGGTCTGTGAGGACAGCTCCAATGACAAGTTTCTTATCAGCCGCCTGTTTGATGTTGCAGAAGGTTCAACGCTGGAAGAAGCTTCAAATAACTGTATCCGCTTAGAATGGAACAAAGGCATTGTGGGACATGTGGCAGCACTTGGTGAGCCCTTGAACATCAAAGATGCTTATGAGGTAAATAGGGAATCATTGAGACAGGGGAGCGGGGTGAGGAGGAGAGGGTGTGGAACACGGGTGGAACATTGGACACCTGCTGTGAATGGGGGGGTGGGTATTTCAAACTGAGATGTAATAGGATCACTGAGATGTAGTAATTTGCATACTTCAAACTGGTATGTGGGGTAAGAACTCTCCCATCTCTTATTTATTTTTAAAAAGATTTTATTTACTTATTTGAGAGAGAGAGTGTGAGTAGGGAGAAGGAGAGGGAGGGGGCAAGAATCTCAAGCTGACTCCGTGCTGAGCACAGAGCTCCACTCAGGGTTCAGTCCCACAACCCTGGGATCATGACCTGAGCCCAAACCAAGAGTCGGACCCTTAACCGCCTGAACCACCCAGACGCCCCAGAACTTTTCCATCTTTTAAATGAGTTTCTTTACTGGTGCTTGAGTCAAGGATGTGGGCCATAGAGAAGTCTTGTCTTGTTTTTCTCCTTCATGATAATTTCACATAGCTCATGTCACAGTTGTATTCTCTTCTCTTTACCTGCTGACTACAGATATCCTTATCTGTTATCGCCGCGTGAGCTTCTGAGGATTTTACTGAGCTTCTAAAATGCTAGGTCTAAAAACTGTCACAAAACCAAACCAGTAGTCTTTTTCCATCCATTTGTTCATTCATTCAAATTAGTTATATTCATTTATTTGAAGTCCCATTGACATGAAAATCTGATTTTCTTTCTTTTCATCCTTTCTTTCATTTGTTTTGTTAAATAAATTTATGTCTTCAAAAAATGGAAATCGTTGCTGTAAAATATTTCAGCGGAAATAGTTGGTATTCTTCCACTTTTGCTGTAATTATATATAGGTCTCTAATTACGGGCTTAAAGATTACACTATATGATTTTTCAAATTTCCCATTTTAAATGTTCTTTTTTATTAATAGAATTATGTTTTTTTAACCAAGGCATCTTAACAGAATGACACTTTGTTTACCAGGTTTTTCTAGCACCTTGATAGAACAATTGTTCTAGCTACCTGCTCTGTGGTACACTCTAAATGTTCCGTGGTAATTCCGGCCTGTGACTCCTCTATGTAATTTGAGCAGTCATTGCTGTTTTATTCATTCCTGTATTCCCGATGCCTAATACAATGCTTGGCACATAGTCAAGTCTTAATAAATATTGATTGAATGAAAATTATATAGTAGATAGGACAGATAAGTAGCATAGAAAGCAGATCATAACAGATGCCAGGGAAAATGTGGTAGGTTCAGGGAAGCAGGAGATGACATTACTTGGAGAGCAGAGAAATGTTTCTCTGAGGAAGCAATGCTTGATATGGACCCTGGAAAATAGATAAGATTTGAATAGATTGGTTTGTGTGCATGGTGAGAAACAGATGTAAAGAGAAGTTGAAAGAAGCAACAGGGCAAGTGCACCATGGGGTGCTTGTATGGACATGTGTGGGCAACAGTCAGCGTAGACGTTGAGGAGCTATGAGGGCAGAGCCTGGAGATTCCTCGAGTCTTGAATGCCAGGCTGGGGGGATGTATGTGGTCCAGAGCCATGAGGAATAATTGAAGATGGTTTGAAAGGGGGATTGGTATGATTCAGGCTGATTTAGCAGGATGGATTGTGCAGTGGTCATTAAATGAAACATACTAGAAACTGGGAGGATAAATTACTTAGTAATGTGAGGAAGTGAGGACCTGAACCAGGCACTGGCCTTAACGAGCAAAAGAAGGGAATGGATTTCCAGTGAAGAAGTGGACTCTGCCAGAGTTGGCAGCTACTAGGAGATGGAAGTGAGGGGGAAGGAGGAGTTGAGGATGACTGAGGGTTTGAAATTTGGTGAATAGATATGGTCACTAGTGAGGAATACTGAGATATGATCATTCAGGTGGGTGAAATCATGAGATATTTTTCAGAATTCACTCTATACAGTGGTTTATTCCGTTGTGATTCTTCATGGAGCTATCTCCGTGACTTCCATGAGCTCTGTAGTAACGTCACACCGTAGCTCACTACAAGAGGGGTATTAAGGACACAGCTGAAGGATTGCTGCCAAGTTTGCAGAATTCCCTTCCTGTCCTAGGTGACAGCTGGGTTTCCGCTTTTCAATAGGACCAGAGTCCCAAGTACAGTAGGACCATAAATATGCTTCAGCTTTGCTGAGAAAGCCTTCATTTGTCTGTGTGGTTCTAAGTTTCTGCAGCTCTGAGAATTGCTTCATTTATGTGCAGTTTTTTTTAATATGCTTGCCATTTTCAAAGTTTTGACAGTGTAATTTTTGTTTCAGTCAGTAATGATTTAATTCTAGTACTACTGTCTGAAAGAGGCTCATGTCCTTGATTTGCGGTACTTCCAGGGTGAAGCCTCTTACCCTGCGGATTCTTCATGTTGCTGCTTCACCCTTGGCACCCTGATCTCTGTTTACAGTGGCCTTAGCAGAAGTTATTCGTGTCCCAGGAATTTCATTCTGAAGGTGTGGAGTTGATCTGTGTTGGTGTTGACAGTGGAAGTCAGTTGGCTAATGGATAATTCATTATTCAGCCCCACCCGTAATTTGAATAATCACAATCATGTCTCATAGCTTCTTGTGAAAGGAGTCAGAATAGGAAAATGCATTCTGTTTTCTGAGTCCTACCTCTTTAAACATGTATCTGTAAAAATGACACCTTATAGCAGTATTTCTTTTTTTTTTCTTAGTACGTTTTTCTTTATTATGTTATGTTAATCACCATACATTACATCATTAGTTTTTGATGTAGTGTTCCATGATTCACTGTTTGCGCATAACACCCAGTGCTCCATGCAGTACGTGCCCTCTTTAATACCCATCACCAGGCTAACCCATCCCCGACCCCCTCCCCTCTAGAACCCTCAGTTTGTTTCTCAGAGTCCATTGTCTCTCATGGTTCGTCTCCCATTTCTTAAAGCCTGTTTGACCACAGGACCCTTGAAAAATTGCAGTGTAGCAATGGAAAACCACAAGGTGGCTGTGAAATATAATCATGCTCAGATTGAAGCTAAAAATAAATAATAGTCTCATAGATAAGTCAATTGTAAGAAGTGGTCAACATTTGATTCATTTTTTTAAAACTTTGTGACAGAATGATATAAATTTGAGAATTCAGCTATTTTATTACTAATAAGATAGCACATTCATATATTTAAAGTATAAAACAAGATCCACAACTTAAACCAGTGATTCTCAATCAGACCACAAATACCAATGAGAGGGTGTTTGCTGCCTATATATAGATGTTCAGTCACACAGCAACTCCTCCTGCATCAGCCCATCATTCATGTAACTTTCTTGAATGTGGCACACGCATAGTAATCAGAACAACTGTATAAATGTTTGGTGTTCTCCTTCTATGTGAAAACTAGATACTATCCAGTATCTAGAATGGATTGTGTATTAGGGTTCTTCAATACATATATATTTATATGAAGAGGATTATTACAGAAATTAGCTCACTCAATTATGGAGGCATAGAAGTTCTACAGTCTGCCTGCTGCCTGTAAGCTGGACAACCAGGAAAGCTGGTGGTGTAATTCAGAGTCTGAAGGTCTGAGAGTTGGGCAGCCAATGGTGTAAGTTGTTGTGGGTCTGAGTCCAAAAGCCTGAGAACCAGGAACTTCAATGGAGGTCAGGTGAGCAGAAGAAGGTAGATGTTTCACCTTAAGCAGAGAGAGTGAATTTGTCCTTCCTTTGCCTTTTTGTTCTGTTCAGACCCTCAGTGATTTGGATGATGCCAACCTGCATTGGTGAAGATCTTTGCTCAGTTTATTGATTCAAATGCTAATCTCTTCTGGAGACATCCTTACACACATACCTAGAAATAATGTTTTACCAGCTATTTGGGCATTCCTTATCTTAGTCAAGTTGACACTTAAAATTGACCATCACAGATTGCTTTGAACACCTAGTTTCATGTCCTACAGAAGCCTTAAGATTCCCCAAGATTTCCTGTCAAAGGATTTATATTGTCAAAACACTCCTCTTTCTCCCAAGTCAATTGGAATGCAAAACAGGCTCCTGTTCTGTTTCCATGGGACATCCACTCCATGTATACCGCGATTTCTAGGGAGAAGACTTGGAGGGTTTTAAGGAAGGGTCTCATTACAATTCATGCGGCCTCCACTATGTAGCTACTATTCTTCCCACCCTGATGACTTCGTTACTCCTTTTGTATTCCTTACCTAGATAAATCAGTCTCATCTCTCATTTTGCACGTCTCACTTAGTCAAGATGTTTTTCTTAAGAAATAAGAGCTCTCTCAAATGAATTTTCTATGAATAAAATGATTTCTAAAATGAATTTTAGGAGAAAGAAGTAGCACCAGCGATTGTTTTAATCTTGATGAATCTACTAATCTGTCATGATCTAATTTTGCCCCATGGAACATAGTTTGGGAACTGCTATATCTGTCTTTGTTCAGTGGTCTAAAAATCTTTAGGGGTTGTCTTAAAAATGCCACTCTGTGAAAGAAAACTAGCTTATAAACCGGCAAGACTACTATGTTGTTTTCTGTTACTGTTATTTTTATATAATCTCAAACTTAAGGAAAAGTTGTAAGATTGGTATAAAAAACTTCCATATACACTTTACCCAGAATCTCTAGTTATCTATGTGTTGCCCCATTTGCTTTATCATTTTCTTTTTCTACATACAATGTGTGTCAGTAATATATGCATACTATTTTTCTTTCTTTTTTAAGATTTTATTTATTTATTTTAGAGAGAGAGCATGAGCAGAGGAAGGGGCAGAGGGAGAGAGAATCTCAAGCAGACTCCATGCTCAGTGTGGAGACTGACGAGGGGCTCAGTCTCATGACCCTGAGATCATGACCTGAGCCAAAATCAAGAGTCAGTTGCTCAACCGACTGAGCCACCCAGGCACCCCATGCATAATGCTTTTCTGAACCACTTAATAAGTTGGAAACATTTTTACTAAATATTTCAGTGAATATTTTCTAACAATATTCTTTTATACAATTATAATACATTTTTCAAAATCAGGAAATTTTATGATACAGTGCTATTACCTAATAGTCCACAGTCAAATTTAGTCTATTGTCCCATTATGTTCTTTATAGTTATTTTTTCCTCTGGTCAAGGATCTAATCCTGAATTACATAATGCATATGCCTGTCATGTCTCTTTAGTCTCTTTTAAATCTGGAATAGTTTCTCAGTGTTTCTTTCTCTTTCTTGACATATATTTTGAGAGTACAGGCTAATTATTTTGTAGAATGCATTTTGAGGAGATTCAAGTTAGGTACTTTGGGCAGAAATACCACACATGTCAATGTTGAGACCTTGTTTGGTTTTCCAAACAACCATCAGTTCTTCACTTTTACACCAGCTGGGTGTCCTACAACCCAGTTCAATTCTGATGCTAACTATTAGTAGCATCTAGTAACTAACTTCTGATGCTATACTGCCACCAGTTAGCACAGACTCCACAGTCTAAAGACTCAGTCCCACTAGGTTGTCCCCTGTTCAGATACCAGCCGCAAACAGGGTCCCCACATTTATGTCCACCTACAAATTAGGTGGTTTCCCCACTCGGGTTCAGTAATTTGCTAGAATGACTCACAGAACTCAAGGAAGCACTATTTTTTTTTATTTTAATTTTTTAAATTTATTTATTTTTGAGAGAGAGAACACGTGAGCACAAGCTGGGGGAGGGGCAGGGGGAGAAGCAGGCTCCCCGCGGAGCAGGGAGCCCGATGTGGGACTCTCTGTCCCAGGACCCTGAGATTATGACCTGAGCCGAAGGCAGACACTTAACTGACTGAGCCACCCAGGCGCCTAAGGAACTTTTCATTTTAGACATTGTACTTTTCAGCTCTAGAGTTTCCATCCGAGTTTTTAAAAATAGTTTTGTTTTGTTTTTTTTACAGTTTCCCATCTGTTTATTATTAGCACATTTTCCTTTAAGTCCTTAAGTACATTTATCATAGCTGCTTTAAAGTCCTTGTCTGTTAATTCCAACATCTGAGTCATCTTGGGGTCATTTTCAATTGACTACTTTTTCTCCTCACTATGGGTTGCAATTTCCTGTTTTCTTCACATATGGTGTGAGTTTTGATTGTATGCTGGACATTTTACACATTTTCTTTCAGGGCATTGGATCATATTGTCTTTCTTTAAAATAGGGCTGACATTTGTTCTTCCAGGCAGTTCAGTTACTGAAAGATCTTTTTGGCCCTGTCAGGCTTGGTGTTATTGTTAGGGTGGATTGAATTCGGTCTCAGGGAATGGTCCTTACTCCTAAGGAGTGGTTTTCTGTGTCTCAGCTGAATGCCTGAGGTGGAATGGTTGAGCTGGAACTCCAGTGTCTCCAAACTTTTCCCTAATTGGTATCACCATTCTGCTTTCAGCCTCCAGCACATAATTTTTAGCTGGTTGTCTTAGAGTCTTGCCCTATACATGTTTGAAATGCATAGCCACTCAGTCTTCTGCCACTCCTTTTATCTCTCCCCATAATCCCCCGACGTAACTCTCTTATTAGGTACTTTGCCTTGCAAATTTTAGCCACTTTAGAAGCCCTGAATTCCTTTTAGTTCATTTGGAACAGTGGCTACACTTGGGTACCGTCTGCCTTCTTGCCAGCAGGAAAATGCTCCCAGGAAGAGAGCCAGAGTGGTTGTCCTGTGTCTTTCCCTTTTTCATGGTCTGTGGTTTAATTGTCTCATATATTTGGTCTAGTCTTACAGTTTTCAGTAGGAGGGCAAGTCTGGTACCAGTTGCTTTATTTTAGCAAGTGGATGTCCAAGGCTTAAGTTTTTTTTTTTACACTGTCATGTTCTCATAAACAGTGAAAGGAATAATCCCAGTAATAGTACTGCTCCATGTTTTCTTTGGTGTTTCCTGGACCTAAAGAGGTTAAAGGTTCTCTATGTATATTGCCTTTGCACTGAGTGCATTGTTAGGAAAATTCTTTGAGATGCCAGAATTCACCTAAAGTGAATTTGAAGCATACATTACTCCCACCTCCTTCAATGAAGTGGAATCCAGGGCTGCTGTTGATTTTAAACTCCTAGTATGCCCCCAATGCTCCGAGAACCCTATTAATTTCAGTTTGTTAAACTCTACTGCTTTGATTAGATAGTTAAGTTTTTTCTTTATAAATTGTTCTTGTAATTCAAATATTCATTAACAAAATAATTTCTGAGGATGCATTTTTATTCATATTTTGATTTTTAGCTTGTAGAATAATCCACTATGTAAGTTAATAATTTTTTACTTCTTTAATTCATCAATATCAGTGTCCTGTCTGCCTTTTTAGTATGATATTTAAGAATAATTTTTTAAAAATATATTCAGCCAACATTTTCTCTGTCTCAATATAACTTTGAGCATGTTTAAAAAAAAGCAAAAATGCAGTAGTATTTATTTATAATATAAAATATTTATACTGATTTTGTAACTTTTCTTTTGAAATTGTCTTTAATGCGAAGTTTGGTCTCTCCTGGGAGAATTGGCGTCGTTTCTGACCCCAGTTGATGGAATCTACTGTAATCATTTACTTCATTCACAGCTTTGGCTTTGCGTGACTTTGGACTAATTAAAAAAATAAATAAATGACTTTCAAAGATGAGGGTTTTCCAGTGTGGCTATTCCATATTCTCTGAAGGGAATTCCAAAAGCAGTGTTTTTAGAGCAGTGTTGCTATTAGGTTGAGCATGTAACTTCCCAAGGCTTTTGCTTTGAGGGGAACAACACTCCTTCAGATGTTTATGCTCTGGTATGTTTGTTTCCATTCTATTTTTTTTTTTAAGATTTTATTCATTTATTTGAGAGAGAGAATGAGATAGAGCATGAGACAGGGGGAGGGTCAGAGGGGGAAGCAGACTCCCCGCCGAGCAGGGACCCCGATGCGGGACTCGCTCCCGGGATTCCAGGATCATGACCTGAGCCGAAGGCGGTCGCCCAACCAACTGAGCCACCCAGGCGCCCCATTCTAATATTATCTCATATAGTAGTATCTGTCCATTTCTTGTAGTATGTTTTCCTTCTTACCTACAGTGTTTGTTTTAAACTATAATAAGCCATATATTTGGTCTAGTCTTACAGTTTGAGACTAGACCAAATATATGGCTTTGAGCCACCCAGGCGCCCCATTCTAATATTATCTCATATAGTAGTATCTGTCCATTTCTTGTAGTATGTTTTCCTTCTTACCTACAGTGTTTGTTTTAAACTATAATAAGCTAAAAATGATCACATCTGATAACCGTGATATCATTTGTTAATGAATTCCTTCATTTATTTAACAAATGCTTTTGAGTTTTTGTGCTAGTATTGGGAATACAGTGAAGGACCAAAAAAAAAAAAAAGCCCCTCCTAGAGTTTTCAGCCTAACTTGAATCTTCCCAATCTATTTTTGTTGTTGTTGTTAAAGATTTTATTTATTTATTTTGACAGAGAGAGGGAACACAAGCAGGGGGAATGGGGGAGGGAGAAGCAGGCTTCCTGCCGAGCAGGGAGCCCAATGTGGGGCTTGATCCCAGGACCCTGAGATCATGACCTGAGCCTAAGGCAGACGCTTAAGGACTGAGCCACCCAGGCACTCCCAATCTAAAGTTCAAAGGATAATGGCCTATACCTTTCTTTCTTTAACCCACATTTAGAACCTTTACAACTCTCAGAAGTCCTTTGTGATTATTGGATGTGCATGATGTACTTTGTAAAAGGGAAAAGAAATACAAAGGTTAAGGAGTTGTTTACAGTCTGATTGAGGCTGTGCAGCTTTTTTTATGCACACATACACATGAGAATATTTAAAATTCTTATGAACTCTGGGGTATTTAAAATTTTAAATTTAAGAATATTGAAGAATATTTAAATTTCTTATGAACACCTGGCATAGAAGAACAGAATACTGAGTTAGTATATAAACAACTATTACGAGGGAAATAAAGTCAGTATTAGGCAGGTCGTTTTGGAGTTGGTAGGTTTTAAAGGAAAAGTTTCAGAGCAGAGATGCTTTCCTTTGGATGGCACAGAAGAATCAGATAGTGAGATATGGGAACAGGCAAACTGTATTACAGAGGTGAAGAGTTGCCACTTTTCCGTGAGTCTAAGGAATGCTATCTAAATTGGTTAATATTTTGAATTTCCTTTATTTCTGAACATTTGAGTCTGTATTTTTTTCTCACGAACACTAGCTCCTAAAAAACATAAATATATCTTTGTCAAAGATGATATGTACTTACATGATTTGATGTCTTTCCACTGATAAAATTGTCATTCAGAGCAACAAGGTAAGTCGAAGGTTAGATTTTTCTAATCTTATAAATCGGAAAAATCAAATCAATCTCTGAACAGGTCAGTCATTAAATTGAATTTCTTTTTCCTTACTTAGGATCCTCGGTTCAATGCAGAAGTTGACCAAATTACAGGCTACAGGACACAGAGTATTCTTTGTATGCCAATTAAGAATCATAGGGAAGAGGTAAGCCAATTTTCCATTTTATAAAGGTCATTTGAAACATTTTCTTTCGGAAAAAAAAGTTTTACTTTGCATACTTATAAAATAATACTATAGTGACAAATTAACTACAGAGTGCTTAAATGTTCTGCTTGTTTTTTCTTTTTTTATTATTTAGACTTTAGATAGGGCTGAATCTTGATAGACACTTTACTTTGACTTAGAAATAGATTTCAGACATTTTATTTCCTTACCTCACCCCCTATCACCACCGCGGGACCTTATTTTATCCCAAGATACATAATTGTGGTGTGGTTGGAATCTATTTTGTATTCTATTGGAAGTGTATGAATAATGCTCATTTCATAATGGTTATTCAATTGTAATGGTTACCAGCTGATTTTGTGGGGGGATTCAAAATGAGGTTTCGAAAACATAAAAATTATAGCTAATTCCAGGTAAATTTCATTGTGAAATTATAACAAGCAACTGAAATGTTTGGGTTTATATTTCACCTAACTAGAAGTTTGGATTCTGTTAGCACTGACTTCCCTCTTCATTCATACTTATTTGAAAAAAAAAAAAAAGTTAATAAATTATCAATCAAATTGTATGTTTCAGTTAAATGTTCTCAACTCTGGCTGCACATTACAATCAACTGAGGAACTTCTAAAATATAACCAATTAAATCGGAATCTCTAAGAGCAGGGTGTAGACACTGATATATTTTTAAAGCTCTCCAAATAATTCTGAAGTGTAGCCAGGGTTGAAAATCACTACCCTAAGTGAAAACAAATAGATTGAAAACAAGATGCCCGTACTCGGGAATCTTAACCTTGGCTGTACATTAGAATCACCTAGGAAGTATTTAGAAATTTTAATGCCCAGGCTTCACTTTAAATCAGAGTCTCTGGAGTTGGGACCCAGGCATCAGTATTTTAAAGCTCCCAGGTTATTACAACATGCGGCTAGGTTCGAGAACCACCGAACCACTGCCAAAGATACTAGAAGCACTTTGATGATTCTACTTGACTTATTTTCACATTCTGACATCTTTCCTTTCTCTCTTCCATCCAGTCCCTTACCAAGTCCCATTGATTTTTTTCCATTGGAGTTTTTCTCACTTCAGTTCCTTTCCTTTCTTACCTACTGTCATAATTCAGATATTGTAGTAATGCTTGAACTTTTAAAATATTTTCTTAAGAGGCTTCTATACTTGCAGCCAGTTTCCCTCCAATCCAGCCTGCTATTTGCCCTGGGAATTTTCCTAAAACACAGCTTTCTAAATCAGTGCGCCTAAAACATTAATGTGCACATGAATCCCATGGGGATTTTGTTAAAATGCAGTTTCTGAATTCTGTAGGTCCAGGTGGGACCTGAGATTCTTTTGTAACAAGCACCAAGTTGATGCTGACACCCCGAGTCTGTGGATCATAATTTGACTAACGGGATCCTAAATGAGTCAGTAGTCTCAGTGGTCTAAAATAAATTCTCAGTGCCTTAGAGTTGCTATGTGGGTTTTTAAGTGGAAAGTTAGAGTCAAAGTCACTAAAAATACCTGCAGTTAAAACATGATTATGAGATTAATTAATTACTCAATTATTAATTGGCAAATTAATTGGTTAGTTAATTATGTGGATGAATAAATAAAATAGAAAAGGCCATACATGGATTAACGATGAGGCTGTCAGATATGACAAATAAAAAGCATGTCCCATGCAATATTTGGGACATAGTTATGCTAAAAATTATTCGTTGCTCATGTGAAATTAAATTTGACTAGCTTCCTGTATTTTATCTGATAGCCCTAGTTATAAACCAGAGGCTGTGATTCTGTGCACTTGAGAAGACAGTGTTCGGCTTCCAGTTAGTTAAGTATACGGTTAAAATTGTGGCCGAAAAATCAGCCTTGTACTAGCCAAGAGACCCAGCCTGAATCACGCTCTGATTAAACTTCTCTTTCTAAATAGTGCAAACAGTCTCACCAGCACTGGGGACTGGGGGAGCCCATGAGAATGGTGCAAAAAATCACCAGGGCGAAGGGTGTGGGGCTGCCCTTCTGTAAGAGAGCAACCACAGGACATATGTGTTGGTCTCTTTATGACGACCTGTGAGGATGGTTTAAATTAAACAGGCAACAACAACCCCAGCTGTATTGAAGTATAATTTAACACGATCAAATCCACCCATTGTAAGTGTACAGTGTGATGAATTTTGACAAATGTGCATACAGTCATGTAACCACTGCTGTAATCAAGATACAGAACATTTCGTTCGCCTCAGATATTTCCCTGTACCCCTAGCAATCGATGTCCTCACCCTCCCTCAACCCCGGACCCCTAACAATCACCAGTCTGTTTTTGTCTCTCTTCTTTTTGCCTTTTCTAGAATGTCATGTAAATGGAATCCTACTGTATGTAGTTTTGTGTATGGCTTCTTTCACTTAGTACAACATTTCTGAGGTTCGTCCATGTTGTTGCATGTGTCAGTAATTTGTTCCTTCTCATTGGCGAGTGATTTATTCCATGGTGGGGATATACCAGTTTGACTATTCATTCATTCATCAGTTGATGGACACTTGAGTTGCTTCCAGTTTTGTGAAGCAACCCACTATTACGAAAGAAGCCACGGTCAGTGTTTGCATACAGGGCTTTGTGTGGACATAAGGCTTTCATTTCTCTTGGGTAAATATATAGGAAGGGAATTGCTAGGTCATATGGTAGGTGTTTAATTTTATAAGAAACTTCAAAGACTTTCCCAAAGTGGCTGTACCATATGCATTCTTACCAGCAATGTATGAGTTCCAGTTGCTTCACATCCTTGGCAACATGTTGTATTATCAGTTTTTAAAACTTTTAGGTGTTTTAGTGGGGATGATTTGAATTCGTTTTATTGTTTGGTTTTGTTTTTGTTTTTGTTTTTTTTATTAGAGAGAGCACGAGCAGGGGTGAGGGGCAGAGGGAGAGGGACAAGCAGACTCCCCGCCAAGCGGGGAGCCCGATGCAGGACTCGATCCCAGGAACCGGGGATCATGACCTGAGCCGAAGGCAGATGCTTAATCGACTGAACCACCCAGGTGCCCCTAGGATAATTTGAACTTATTACATGAATATATAACCCCACTCTCAGCCAAGGGCTGTCTGCTCATTTCCAGATCTGATTAAAGTGGGTCCAGCTGCAGGCCCCAGATTGTGATTGTCCAGAGCTCCCCCTAAGATTCCTGTTGGGTTCCTGAGCATCCTTGGTCGGCCTGCCTCCATGTTCCCGCATCCTTTCCTGCTATCTCTGCTTTACCCTCTAATGACTGGATGGGAAGCCAGGGGTCTTTACTGGTCTCCCCAGAAATTCTCTCACACCAAGCATTTCATGGGACAAAGAAGCCCTCAACAACTTCACTGGACACATAGTCACATCACTAAAGGGAGGGTTTCTAAACACCGCTTTTTAAAGGTCTCCCTGACTCTCCCCATTCTCTACCTTCTCCCACCTGCTCTCTCCTCCCCCAACATTGGCATCACTCAGTTCAAAATTCTTTTCTGTGAGTATTTTCTTCAGAGAAAAGGAATGAAGAGAAACAGAAGAATGGACATACTCAGCTGTGGGGGAAAAAAAAAAAGGAAAAAGTTATTTGGCTGATGAAGAACCAAGGCCACTAAGAAGGTACAAATACGACTTTCAGAATTATTTTTAAATTTATAGCTATGTAGACAAACCCAGGGCAGTGTTTACTTTTATAAGTAAAGATTACATACAGAAGTACTCCTTTTCTCAGAAAATTTTTGAAATTAAGATGAAGAGGCATAAGTAAGGCTTTTGGGAGCAGTTGCTAAGACTGCTTCCTCTGGGCTTGTATTCCATCTTTAACACCTACTTGGTGAGTAGCCAGGATGGGATTGGTTAATTCCTTTGGTTTTCAGTTTCCTCATCTGCAAACTGGGTGTTATAAAAGGACCTACCTTGTTGTGAAGGACAGAGGCATTCATGTATGCTGAGGTTTTACCATAGTTCCCGGCATGCTTAAAGATGATCAATAAATGTTATTTTTTTAAAAGGAGACATACCTGACAGAGCTTTTATGAGAAATAAGGAGTAATAAAATTACATGAAGAGGTCATCAGCACTATAGGATAACCAGCCAACTAGGCTCAAATGATAACCAGTGCAGTCCCTGACTTAACTAATCTGTGACCCTCTAACTTTCAGCTTAAAAAGAAAAATGCTTTTTGCATAAATGAAGCAAAATGAATTTGGTGCCTTCCCTTTGTGTTAAGCCAACTGTACTGAGTAAGCCAATACTGATTCCAACTAATTACCAGGGAACCTAAAATGAAGTGTGATCTTATGAACAGTCGGTAAACAGTTTATTTTAGTGATTGTTTACAAAATGTCCTTGTACTTTTTAATAACCCCTTAAGACATAGGCACTGACTCTGGAAAGCTGCTTGAATGGAGAAGCTGAATATTGAATGCTAAATTCTGAACTATAACATAGTCCAGGAAATTGAAGAAAATCTTTAAGATTCAGCGAAATACATAATCTCCTCATTTGCCTCTTCTTCCTGTGAAATATTCCGACTAATTAAACATTTTCAGGAGTTCTTTTCATTAATGTTGTAATCTTAAGTGTAAGAGATAGCAGTACCTTTTTAGGAATGAGAATCATAGATATTGTTAAACTTCTGTGACAGAAATTTTTGAAAAGAATCGTAGTGGGTAAGGTTTTATAATCTTTCCCTCTCCTGCTCCCTTCTGAGAGAATGGGGTTAATGGGCAAAGTGGGGGAAAACAACTGGAGAAGCTTGAGGGGGCTAAAATAATTTATTTTGGAAAGGTCAAAGAGCTGTTGGCTAGAGAAAAATAAATGAAGACAAGAAGAGGAAGGGTCAAGGGAGAGAAGAGAGCTGGCCCAGGCTGTATATTAGAGTGCTTTGAAGACGGTGGGGTAGGACCTTGGAAATAACTGCTGTCCCATGGAAACTATTCTAAGGACCTGGCATATATTAATTCATTTAGTCTTCCTAGCA